ACTGTTATTTGCTCACTTGCTCATCCTTTGGTTATTACTCTCGACCGAACCCATGTAGTAATTTGAATTCTTACACCTGGTAATGGGACCTAAACGACGACATGTTTTTCAAAATAATTATCAACTTTGGTGTTCATGATTTCGTGAATCCAATGGTCCTTATAACGATGTCGCCTCCAGCAAGACGCGATTTCGATGCATGCCTATAGTGGTTAGGATTGCGCCAGAAAACATTGGACTTTTGACCTTTATGTATACGCAGGACCTGCTATTATTATGGGTGGTTCTATTTGATGCTTGCTAGATCCTCTGATGTAATGATCGTGAATTGTCGTTTATACTATTTCCCATATCCATGGTACTCTGATCATTTTTCTAATGGCAATTGAACTTTTAGTTGGAGTTGACGAACCTCGAACTGGGGCTCCTAGTTTAAGCAGAAAAATATAGATTGAGGTTGTTGCGCCTTGCGCGTGTGCATCCAGAATTCAATGCCCCCATTCGCCAAATGTGTACCTTTTCAAATCGAGGCACCTCCTCTACATGGTCAATGTTGCCCATTCAAATTATGCTAGATCTCGCTGCTTCAACCAATTGGGCCAATAACTAGATTTTGATCCAATCTTTCTCAAAACTAAGGTGGTAACAGGTTGATAGCTTTTAGGATAAAAGGCGAAGGTCATTGTAACCAAATTACTAGATAGGGTCACCTTGTAGATTCGTCCTATTTGGTGGCAATCGTTCACCGAGTACTTAAATACACTCACTAACTCGGATATTTATTCTCATAGAACCGCAGTGACAAAATGGTGTGATGTCTGGTCCTTTTATTGGCGTTCTCTGCATTCAAGCCGAAACGCTTATTGCCATTCTCTTGTTTGTTTGAGCATGAGCTCAAGGTTTGATGGGTTTGTAGCTTCTGCTTCGTTTCGTCATGCAGTTCAGCATTGACGAAATAGTTTTTCTATTCAACATTACATATGCTCCATATCACTTCCTGATGTGCAAGGCAAATTGTCGACTCTTCTGAATTCTGACTTAATCACTGTTAGGAGGGCATTCATCCACTGCCTATATCTCCAGGCTCCAATTCTATCGAATGTGTTTAGCACTCTGCCCCCTCTATCCATGGTAGACCCGCCTACCTGCTATGGCGCCCGTGGTGGTCCCATTTGTACGCATACACCTTCGTGTGTGGCCCTTTCTTGTGTGGGTGTGTGCACACTTCTGCCTTTCCATCTGAGCTGTCCTGTACGCCACCACACACTCCCTTCACACGCACTCACATGCTTCCACGCATACATATGCTGCTTTTCTCGCCGCTGCTGTCGTTGGGCTTAAAGCTGATGGAAACGAATGCGCTGAAACTCGCCACCCTCCATCTTCCATTACTATTAATCGAAGGCATAAGCTTTCAGCAATTTGATGCGTAGATGCGTGTATGAGGTCGGATCTATAGCTTAACTATAAAGATCCTCTAGTTTAATCACATTGATAAGCAAAATGCCTGCCCGTTTTTATTCATACTTTCCATCATTACCGCTGCTGGTTCTGTTGTTTTCATCTGACGTAAACAGGCCTGATTGCCTTTCTGCACAACTCGGTCACTCACACAACACCTATGCTTCTGCTGCCCTCCCATTTGTGACTTGCATCATCACACTCTGAGAGTGTCAGCGCACACACTGGCGGGAAAAACAGCGACAGTAACGGTGCTGGTGGCGGATGGAGTCGTGGCGACAGTGGCTGCTGCTGACTGGCCGTGTTTGTGTGTGAGTGGATGGGTGGTCGTCACCCCCGTTTAACTAGTGCTCAAAGCCTCTCTCACTGCCTTCAATCTTCGTGCCTGCGCATGCTCGTGGGTGGCCCTCGGGCTTGATTCCAATGAAGACTGGCTGCTGGCTGGCCTAGACCAGGAAGGGTCGGGTTGGTTTAGGCCTGATATGATGTGGTGGGGCGACGCAATTAATTTTCTAAACAGTTTAATAGTCATCTTAAATTGTTTTTCTTTTTGAAAAATGGTCCTCCGGGTAGATTGAGGGTCTCAATCCTTTCATTTTTCACTCTTCGTGGGTGTTGGTGATGAAAGTACGATGAGGGCTTACTTGGACTTCTTTTTGCACTCCAGCTGAATCGGATTAGTGAAGGTCAATAATTTGTAAACTGAAAAAATCATAGTAGAATCCTCAGAAATGACTAATTCACTCGCCCAGCAGTTAGATTTGATGGTATTGCGTTTCGTGAAATATTACAATGGGGACTCAAAGTTTCAAGGAACCCGTCGCTGATCGTTCCACTTTTATCATATATAATCTTGTCGTAAACTGGCCATGTCCGTGGGTGCAATCATGGTTCTCGAATTACAGCCATAAACATCTAAAAATTGAGCACGACAAAAGGACATACCCTCTCTGTCAGGTCCCTTGTACGCTTTTTGCAAGATAGATGACCTGATTGGCCAAGTGCTTCAAACAGTTTTGCATTCAACTGGTAATCCGCTGTTAGAATGCAGACGTCGTGTTGATGTCATGCTGGAAATGGGATAGGAGAGTTGAGACACCTGCTCGACACAGCGCACTCACGCACGCCACACCCAGTCGTTCTCTTCGCTCTTCGTTTCGCAGTGGAACGCCCTTCCCATCTCGTGCGATGAGCACTTTGATTACGCGTACAGTCCGCGGTGGCGGCAATGGTGTGGGAGGGGAGGCGAGGAGTGGAGGGCAAGAAGAGCCTTTTAAAAGGGCTCTTCGTCCGCCTGTCGCCTCTGTCACGATCTACCGCGGCGTTGTGAGGCTGAAAAAGTTGCCTGGTTGCATGCTTGTATGTACGCACACACGTCTCTCCTCCACCCCTTTCCTGTTCTCCTCGGCGAAAGCGCAACAAGACCACCCACATGCCTGCACGCGCCACAGTGGAGGGTACTCATAGCTTTGGACAGTCAAATAAGCAACGCAAAGTTCTTAACCCCTCCTATTGCCGCTCTTCTCCGGGCAATCGCACCTTTCCGCTCTTGACTTGGATAACTCAAGGAGTGAACAATTGGTACTGGCTACCACGCACAGTTGAGTTTCTGGGCTTGTAGGAAGACGTATGGTGTGTTTTATACCAGCCTCCTTGGTATTGTACATGATTTCCCTTTTGATGTTGCTTCAATTGGAGCTCTCCATTCCAAATGATTAGTGATGCATTGCTATAATGGCTGGACTAGGTGGTTTATTTCTCTCTGTAGTGAAAAATAGGACGTATCAATAGGATTGGGTCACTATTCTTATTGCTGTTAATTCTGATGGCTAGAATCAGCTTCATCAACTTCACCTGTCTAACAAGTGGGTTGAGAAATGGTAGTATGGAGCATTGGAATCGCTTTTAGTCAAATTTCTCGTTCTACTCGTAGTATTGTTCTGCACAATGGTTTCTTCGTCTTTAAACAGGTGTGCTTCTTTCACTCTTTGACTTCAACTTTGTAAACTTATCTCAAACGAAGGTGCTTTTCTGCAGATGCTTCTTGGGTGGTTAACTATTTGTGCTAGTTTGTAGCCTGAGTAATCATAACAGAATGCCTTCCATTCCAGTATAATGTCAAGTTTCACTTTTCTCCTTTCATTCGCATATTCAAGTATTCAAAACATTTTGCTTCATTCATCAGAATCCTTGATGCTCAGTTCAGCACTTAGTGTTATAGCTCATTGAGATTACAAAATGCCAATTTGATATTAAGAGAGTTGATGGTGATTTTATCGTAGTGTAGCTGATGAAATTGATTGAAAGTTTACGCGCCTCCCTAGTCATGCCAATTATCAGTCTATTTCTCAGTTCCGCAGCCATTGCTTTTTGTTTTCGGTCTCGATGGCAGCCGAAACAGTATTCTTTCTCACCCCTAGTCGTTCCCATTCACTTGATAAAGGTGTGTTCAGGCAGGTAACTAGTCCCGCCATCATCCTCTTCAAAGGGACTATTGTCGTCGTCGTCGTCGTCGTCCTCTTTAATGCTACCATTCCTCGTGAAATTAAAGCCGCTTAGACACCTTCTGCTCAGTTTCTTTTGTCTTCAGTTTTGTTTTACACTATCCTGATTCGCCTAGTATCAAACTGTTTTGTGGATTTCTGCTTCAAATAACTGAGACAGAGATCTCATCTTGTTGATTTCCATAAGAGTTTAGCAAACCACTTTTAGCATCGTAATTTTGTCGAAATAACTTGATAAAATATTTTTACCGCTTTTTTTTATGAAAAAAAGGGCGACATGACTAAATTTCAGTAGTTTCTCAGCAGCATCTCACGTATTGACAAAAAACAAAGTACTGAAGCCAACAAGTGGAATCATGACGTTTTATTTGGCCGAGAAATCACATCGGTTAAAATGTTTCCCATTTAATCTGATTGTCTCTAATATGCATCCATGTTGAGTGAATTCATCTCCTCTTTTAAGTTCCAAACCGTGAGTCGCCTACCATTCGAAGTTGGCAAAGGCATCGGTCTGGTTCAGTTTTCGTAGTGCAGTGGTTGTTTGAGGCATTATGCTGTTTCACTTTCTAAGAGGCGTCAATTGTGAGGTGATTCCAACTTTTCTCTGGATTCAACGGGAACTTTTGGAGTTAATTACTTACAGCTTGATTTTGAAATCACACTTAACTTGGCAAAATTGCAACTCCTCCCTAAAGGGCCTTTGTCGAAAACTATTCCATACAATCCTAACATTTAACGCACCGATGGAATAATTACCCATAAGTAAATCAGAACTGCAATTAATTTTTTTATTCTTTACCAGAAGACAAAAGCGAACTTTGTCTCATACCTGGTGGTCCTCATTCAGCCCTACCACCTCATCTCCCACCCTTTCACCCATCCATTCATCTACCCAACTACCCGCCCACCCATCCACACACAGCTAGATAGCTAAGCGAGTTGGTAGTGTGTGCGTAGCCATTCAGCTTTGTAAGCACACACACGACGCTAGGGCCACCCCAGATAGTCTGCGTGTGTGCTCCACCTTCTGTAAGCATGGTTGGGCTCATAGCAAGTGCGTACAAGTCCCCTCCCTCTACCAGAATTACTGCTACCCTCACTACTGCTGTGCAGGTGTGCTCAATAGTCGTTAACCGAATCATTTTCTTCAAATTTCCTTGAAGCCTCCCGTTCAAATGGTATCTCTCTACTTGTTCGTAGTGGCTCCTTCCTTTTAATTCATTTTCGTCTATTTGTAGTTAGTGAGGTTGATAAAACAACCCCTTCTCGATTGCTGTAGCATGCTGAAATACTACGGCGAACACTTATAAGTCAAGGCTTATTGTGTTAGGGATTTTCATGCTGGATACAGAGTGTCTTCTATCCTTTCATCTTGTCAAAGTTTGTATGCCGATGCAGTAATAATGAAATGTAGTAACAAATCTCGGACGAGACAGGATTGTGGTACACACTAATTTCAGGTTCCAGTGAATACTTGCGAGCCTCCGATAGATTTGTCTTTGAAAAAGATAGGGGAAACAACTGCTTCACTTTTCATCCAAGTAATGTCCACTCGAATTTATGTATGCTTTCCAGATCGCCTTTAACAGTATTTGGAGTATTCTTCAATAATCATGACAACTTTGCAAAACGGGAAGTATAAATTAACTTGGTTTCTCCCGCCTCTGCTCATTATACTACTCTACAAATTTCACTTCTACTGTAAGCAATTTCTGAAATAAAGTTAGTGCAGTTCTTGAATGGTCCGTTTCCAGGCTGGTGCGCTTAGGGTTGCAAAATCACGGTTTCCGATGCGTTTTGCAGTAAAGAAGTGAAATGGTTTGCAATGAGGTGTGCCGGGTGGTTTAAGGCTGATTGATCCCTTTTATCTTCCTCATAATAGATTGTGGGTCTATGTGATGAGGAGTTACGTCTAGTGCAGCGCTGGACAGGAGGTCAGGTCGCAGATATTTTGCGACAGCAGGATGCCACTGGTGGTGGCCTGCTAGTAACAGACCTGTGGCGGGAGCAGAGCATCTTCGAGTTGGAGCCTGGCCTGGCAGAATACATTAACGAGCGCATGCGTCGCGAGGGTTCCAATCTCTCTGGGGTGACCACGCAGTTCTTTGCCTGGGCCGCCATTGATCCTCTCCAACTTGCTGAACTTCTGCCTGGTGAAATTGAAGCCAATGCTGCTGCCACTGCAGCCGCCTCTCAGAGGAACCGCGCTGTTGCCATGGAGACTGATGACAGTGGTTCTGTCACCACTTTGCATAAGGCTCCTTCCTCTGTCGCCACACATATACCTACCAGCATCAAGGCCGGCGACGATGTTAGTTCTTCTGTGTTGCATTTACTTTGAAACCTCTTGTCAGTAATACTGGGATGTTTAGAAAAACGCGTTTATTTTTCATTCTTATAAGAAGTATTGAAAGCTATGCAAACAGAATTGTGTGTGGCAGCATCTTGATCCGACTAATACTAAACTGCTCTTTTCCTTTACACAGGTGTATATCGACATCGTAGGCGATGGTTCATTATGTTCGAGTGACCCTCCAAAGGCCAAAACAGCAAAGAACGAGCCGACTTTACCGGTGACAGACATCTCCGACATGGGCATAGCCATTGCCACTGCTGACGTGAACCAGCAACAACAGGGGCAGTCCATAGGCAAGGAGCGGTGTAATTTTAGTAATTAGCTAAATAAGCCTAAATTAAGCTACTGGCAGTAAGTTTATGGTTACCAATGACCATGTTGTGCTGAACAATGCCTCTCGTTACAATGATGATTATTCACATTTCGTTTTCAATAAAAAGTGCCAAGGTATTTTTCAGCACGTAACTCTTGTTATTGGGCCTTCCTTCCCCTCTAGCCGCCTCGGCACTTCCCCTCTCCCTTCAGCTCACAAATATTGGCATTTGATGAGTGATTGTGATTATTACCCCCAGTCCACCAAGCTTCTCCTACTTCTCCTTCCTCCTTCTGCCCACCCATAAAGTCACACTCTAACTTTGTGGCACTGATTGGACAGCATCCTTTCCATGTGTTGCATGGGTTTACTCCAACGATGCTCAATCGAAGCAGCTGTTTCCTATTAGGGTTTTAAACTACCATTATTGTCTTACAAAGAGTGCTTTGTCTCATCATAATAACGTCATTCCCAAAAATTCATGCACTGTTGCGATCGGCGCAAATCGTTGAATCGAATTTTCTTGAATCTTTGCTACGATACCAAACATTTTGCCGTATTGTTGCCATTTCCCCTTGCGTTCCTAAAAGCGCAAATTCGGTTTGTTAGCGTCTAACGGTTCATTTCAGACAGCGCGATCTGGTGCCACTCCAACAGTGCGCTTTAACCAAAATAAAAAGTTGAACATCCGCTAATGTTCATGGTCATAAATGCCAAATGCAGAATCCATTAAGGGTACAGATACAGTATCTGCGGCAGCAGTTTGGATGAGAGCTCTGTAACTCTTGCATATAAAGTGAACATTTGATAGATAGCAGACCGTTCTTTCGTTACACGGAAACATTTGTTCGTCCCTGCACTTTCGTCTTTTCCTTTCATTCCTCTCTATTGCCTCTCCGTCTCTTCGGCTCCGCCCCCCCCCTCGCATCCACCTTTTTTGTCTCGTCGCAAAAAAAAAACACTGCAATTCACACAAATGACACTTGTTTACCCTCATTCGTTGCTTCAGTACCAATTCAGTAGACTCACTAAATTTCTTGGCTTGATGTGTCTTTACAAAATGTCGTTCGCTAATTTTTGTAGTTCATGTATTCCTCCTTTTGTTTAATTTTTTCGAAATTCTTCCAAGAATATTGAGTTTTGTTACAAACTGATCCTTATTTGGTTAGGTGAAAAAAAGGAGGATACGAATACTTTCCGCAATAGTGTGGCCTCCGTAAATACTGCACTCAACTCATCAGCGTCCCCGTTGGATCTTTTGACCGATATGCGTCTCCGAAGATCTGCCACAGGGAACATTTCAAATGCAGGCAGTTTTATAGCATCAAGTGGCGGATGTGGCGGGGGCGGTTCCTCCTCCCTTCCTGGTACTCCAGGCTCATCAGTCGGTGGTGGCGGTGGTGGATGTGGTGACTCTGCTCCATGCACTCCTCTGGCTCATCTCTCGCTCTCTCCCGCCAGTCTGGAGATGCACCCCTCTCGCGCCATTGACTGTCTCGATGTTCACTTCTCCATTGAAGCTGGCGAACTTCTCCCACTAGCCATCTGCGACCGCCTTAAACACGGCCGACATTTCACTTTCCTCAATGCCAATTCCCCTGAACATGCCATCACTCTTGTCCCACCTGGCGTCACGGGTGCTATGGTCTCGCCCGACGTACCTTTCGTTTCTCGTGGGCCCTGGCTGCAGATTTACCTTCCAAAAGATTTCCTTGGACAACTTGAGCGCCAATTTTCAATTCTACAATATCCCGAGGAAGTAGTCCTCCCCTTGGTTTTTCGGTGGCCGGAGCGACGCCTTCGGATCTGCATTCTAGATGCGAGCAATGCCCAACCGCCACCATTGAATGCAGCACTCTCTGTGGTACCCCGATCGTTTCCCAATTCTGCGCCTCCGTTCACGCCACCTTCCTTGCCACCGAGTATTTTCCCACCGGGCTGTGTACCGCCGCCACAGGTGCTTGCGGCTTTTATTAGCTCCCAGCAAGGCAGAGGGGTTGGCGGATTACTGGGTTCTGTGTCGCCACCGGGATCAGGTGCTTCGAGTAGTCAGAGTCCACCCTTTTTGTCGCACGTTCCGATGGGTAAGCCATCCCCAGTCTCAGCGCCACATCTCCCTGCCTCCACTGCGCCATCATCCACTCTCATGGAGGCAATGCTAGCGTCCTTCATGAGTTTATATGGCAACAAAGGCGCATTTGGAGGTCCATTCGCTATGCACCCCCCCCCACCATCATCGGACCCTTCTGGCATACATCCACCCTGGTGACAACGTAAAAGCGCCACTATGCTATCGCTTTAATTTTGCATGATTTTATCTAAAATCGCCATTACTAACAATTTTGTCTTTGTAAAATAGTTATTTGACTGCTGGTGATGGCAATGATGGTGCCGATGAGGACGATGACACCCGCATCCCTGTTCCCCTGAGCGCCAATATTCTATGAATATAGCTATCTCCGATTTTGATTTAAACGTTTCACTCATCACAAGAATGTGGTGGATGCGATGTTTTCTCCCTAAAGTATAACGTCACCATTTTAATGGCACCGAAAAGCAGTTGAAATCGGGCAGCAAAGTCACTGAATTTCCGGTCCAGATAAGTTGTCTTTGATGTGAACTTGGTGCATTCCAACAAACTACTCAAATTAAACTCCTGAGATGGGAACCATTGGACGTGAATGTTGCGGATCAAATTTAAGTGGGAGTCGGATATGACCGTTGCGTAGCTCTGGATTATTTTATCAGAGGTCAAATTATATCTGCCAATAATTTTGATTGATTAGACTGACCAGATGGCGGCGTAAAGGCTGAAATGCCTCTACCAAGTTGTTTCGAGCCAGTCTCAAGGAAAGCGTGCTTTTCGGTACCATCTTATGAGGTATATTGCAGTGGGGAAGCGCGTTCAATGTGGAGTAATTTATCAAAGACTTGAAGCTTACAAACCGAGTCATGGGCAAAGAATGTTAAAGATGGACCTCATATTTGGTAGCATGAGGTGTTAGACATGGTCAAATACCTGCAATCAAACAGGAGGGGAGGGTGTAGACTACTCCACTTAGTAGAAGTAAAATGGCTGCCAAAGAACTCGTCATGCACACCGCTAGTCGAATAATCGAAGTAGTACAACCGGTCGCCCTTATGAATATGACTGCTTAAGCACTTCAGTTCTGAATAGTTGTGATTTGCTTGGCGCATGATCTTTGGGTCACTAAAATAGGCTCCCAGCCTTGTTGTACATTATTACTTTGTTATTTCATACTGTCTTGTTTTTTCTTAGGAGTCAAGTATAAACTCGAACTGTAAGTTAAAAAAATAAAAATAACAACAATAAAATATGGTAGGAACAAGAACCGATAGCCTCCCAACTGAAGTTGAAACAAGAAGAGATTAATTACCCGTAACTAAATACGCGGACCTAGAATGATCCTCTATGAATAAATTTTGTTAGCCTAACTTTTCTGAAAGACCATTTAATTTTTTTGCGTTTGACTACGCAACCACTAAATTGCGCCACATATTGTACTTTAGCTTGGAGGTATGGTCCTGGGTCATGTCAGTCCTTGCCATTATATTATGGTTTCTCACGACTTTGAAAAAGGTTGATGTCAATCCGTGGTGGCAGCAAGCAAACCTCATTTTTAAAGCTAGAAAATCGGATTTTTAGTGCTAAATGAGAGCATCCACTGCTGATGGACAATTTTGTTCGAGTCCCTGACAAGTGCTGAAACTGACATTTTCCTTTGGCAACAGCCACAGCGCAGTAATCTGAAAGATTGGTAGGGCATCACTAAAAAGTTCGTTGTAAAACTGTATTCAGTGTCTGCAGAGGACGGCAATCGCGTAGTCACGCAACATCCCCCTGCATATTCCTGTCAGATGAATAAAACCCTTTTAAGTAAATTGTCGCGTCGCGCTGACATGGGAAAAAAACCGAGACACTGGTTTCAATCGTTCCTTTTAACAAAAAAATTAATTAACTAGGGAAAAGCATACAAGTTGGTTTGACCGTAGAGAGATGCCATTGTCTAAATCTCGGTCCCTATAAGAGTATACTTGATTGGCTAGCATACTTTCGCTGAATGAGTCAGCAGTCACAATACATCCCATCCGATGAGGGTCAATAACCTGCCAACATGGGGAGCTATCAAAGCCATTAAACAGTACAAAACTATTGCATAAGTGGCTTTGGCTAAACACATAGGTGATTAAAACGAATATATCTTACCAACTTTTCCAACTGCAAAGACCGCCTCCACCAGACAGGTGAAGACTGCAGTGCTTTGTTCATGTGACCACCTGATGTCTGGCGGTTACTTTGTTATTCGTATTGCCCCTCTACGCATGGGTTGGCCTTCGAGCCATGCCAAGGCCTAATCCCTTCTTATCCTTCGGGAATGCATGTGATCTGTCCAACTTATTGCCTTGAGACACTATATTGGTGGCAGTGAAAAACGAACTCGACTATTTTTAACGGCTTCTATCATTGCATCCGCCGCCTGTGGCAGGTGTCTATGATTCAGAGAAGGCTCATGGACTATGAGAGAGAGAATCTCTGAAAAACTTCTAAAAAGAAGGGTTAAGTCTATTAACAGCTGAAGCGACACTGCCGTAAACCATCCGAAAATGTTAGGTATTGGTAACCTCTCCGCTACATCCATATATAGAAGCAAAAAAAGGGCATTACCTCAAGTTTCCATCGATGCTGGACCGTGCTTGATCCCGCCTTTCCATTGATGTCTAAAAGATATTTTTCTCGCCACTTTTCCTGTTGAAGTTGCTGAGGCAAATAAGTACCATTCCTCAGCCATGTGGTAGCTGACACCTGGCGCGGTTGGCGCATAGGTGTTTCCTGGAAATGTTGTGATGGCTAACGAGGTTGTCGCTCATAAGAATAGATGGGTAGAATAGTACTTTGTTAATGTGACCACCCGATATCTGGCGGTAACTCGGGTATTCAGTTTACTCATATGCACGTGGGCTGGCCTTTGAGCCAAGCGAAGGCATATCCCTTCTTATCGCCCCAGAATCCGTGTTCAGTCTAACAAAAAGCCTTCTTCCGCACAATATGACCCTCCCGGCTCCACAAAGACTACACTTCAGCACCAAGTGATTTGCGCCAGCTTACGCAGGTGGCTGACAAAAACTAAGACATATCATTTCTTAGCAAAACATAATTATTGTCTAACTGAGCCATAGTCTTGGGGTTTAGCCAGCTTGATAGGATGGTTCCAGCTTCAGTGCAGTATTAAGCGTTCTAGACTTTATAATACGAAAATAAGAAATACAAAATATAAACTACCAAATAATATTTAATTTTTGTTTTGTACACTTTGCATTTTTGTTGATAACTACTTAAAATAATTTGTTCCCTTGCCTTGTTTAAACTGATTTATCACTAGTCCTCCATTTGTTTGTTGAGTTTGTGTTAATTTTATTCGTCAGTGTTCTGTAACAGTCGTGGTCTCGATTTTTGGCAATGCTTAAAAATGCCCTTTGGTAGAGTTGGGATTTATCGTCATGCAGATCCTCAAAAAGTTTGCGAAGTGTGGAGAATTCTGGAGTCAAATAGGGGTCAGAAGCAGTCTGTCCCGGTTGACAAATTAATACGGCCTCTCAGGAAAGTACTTGATATGCAGGACGACAGTATCCGACTTTTACTAACTGAAATCGAGGGTGACGGACTTATAGTGAAGGTTAACAGTTGTTCCGGAAAAGGCTGCGACGGCTATCGTCTACCTGACTTCCATCACCAGTGCCCTCGTCAGCAGCATGATTGGTACTGTTTTCGGTGTCACAAGCCGGGGAAATTATTACATTGTAGTGATTGTTTTCGTGCATATCACTCCGAGTGTGTGAACGATGATCAGCATCCGACTCCTCACTCACGAACTGTGCTTTCTCCAGGTCCTTTGGATAATGATGCAGGCGACTTTACTTGTCCTGTTTGTGAATCAAGACCAAAGTGCGAATTTTCTCGCAAACAGATTCGCAAACTGCTTGAATTCGCAACGCACAACTTGCGAAAACAGCCCTCGTGGAAGCATTTTAGTCAGATAGGATATCCTGGTGACATTGATAAAAATGAGTACATCGTTTACAAATACGTGGACATGGATCTTCTTCAACGGAAGATAAAAGATGGACGGTACACTGCATTGGAATTCTTCGCTATGGATGTTGAACTTCTTGTTCACGATGTTTGTCTTCTCTTTGGCCCCTTCAGTAATGATGCAGATGAGGCTCGATTTCTGCTCCGCTCTGTTAACAATGAGATAACAGAAATCCAGCTCTGTACTGACTGCTACATAAACGCAAAAGCTCGCGTGGGTGATTGGATTACAAAGCCTTGTAAACCTCCTCATGAGTTCATATGCGCTTGCAATCGTTCTGCTTCTGGTGCTGGCTTATTTGACAACGCAAGCATTCGGCATTGTTATTGGCCGGCGAAGATCCTCTTGGAAAGGGATGATGGATATGAGGTCTGTTTTTTGGCACACTATCTACTCCGCAGCTCTGTGAAGTGGAAAGTTTGCGCTGCATAGATCCTCTTTATAGTATTTAAGACTATAAAGTAGCTACCATCATGCGATTTACTACGATAGGAATTATACATGGGTAATGTCCTTAGTGCATGGCGGAATGCGATTTTTGTATAACTCCATAATGATTGTTGTTGACGCACTTCACGTTCGCGTCTTAGTGGGGGTTGCGAGCGGCTTTTTGACAGCCATTCCAATGAATACTTCAAGGAAAATTGACGTTATTTGGTCTTCTGACGTTCGAAATTCTATTTCTCCAAGCTGGAGCGAGGTTACTATCGAGTCGATTTCTGTACTTGTGCTTGTAATCACAACTAATATTTCAAGGTTTTCATTGAGAGCGTTTTCATTCTGCGATCTGACCTTTTTCTCTTTCCTTGCGAGGCTATTATTAATCTACGCCATCGTTATTTATTTTGTTCGCGTCAAAAACTGAGTTCATGATTGTCTGAGATTGACACTATTGACCCGTTTTGTGATCTTATTCTACAGCACTTTCCTAGAAGAAAAATGCATTGAAGCTGCTCGTAGTCCGAGCTCTTGATCCATTTTTGTTGGTAGATTCGTTTCTTTGGCGGTACCCATGAACGAGCGTTTGTGAAGAAAACTCATACTACTCCATTCGTCCTTCCTGAGATCGATCCAACTTTCCACCGGCGTGCTTTGGCTGGCGCTCATAACGTCCCTAGCTCCCTTATTGAGCGAGCCTGGAATGAGGTTCGAAAATTGCAGGCTAACCTCAACTCCGGATACTACTCTCACTCCTCCGGGGAGTCGGATATGCCTCCCTCAGATGACAATTACACCGATGAGATTTATATCCGTCCTCGTCGGCACACTGCCGTGTCTCTTTCCAACAGCCCACGGTCCTCTGCAACGGCAAACTCTGCAAAATTAAAATCTACCAAAAAAAGAGCGTGAGTAATTTGTAAAAATAAATTGACCTTGGGGATAAGTTTTGTCTGAAAGTAATTGATTATGCTCTCTATCACTTTAGCCAGATAGAATTTCGTCTTTCTAACAGCATTATCTTTGAGTCTCAGGAATGTCATGGTTATAGTCTTCACAGCGAATATGCTTCGTTACCTCAATCAGCAGTGAAACCATGTATCAGTTGTCGAGATATCGCACCGAGGTCTGGCTTTGTAGTCGGCGCACACAACCAAGAAAGAACTATTGGTTTCAGCGTTTTGCCAATTTGCTTTTGCATACCTCTTGAATTCGCATGAAACTATATCTACTCTGCGAAATGGAGACACTTCATCTGCATATCTCCTTTAGTCTTTGAGCGCTCATTTTTCATTTGTTTCCTTGATTACGTAAAGTGAGTGTTTAAGTATGGTTCATTGTTATGAATATCATCGTGGCCTCTGCTGCCTCTAAGATGCTAATAATTGCACTTATGTATCCAACTCCTTACCGAACAATATGTTTGGCTGGATTGCACGAATGCTTGCAGTCAAGGGGTGGTCGATTCTCGCTCCAGCGTGCGCGCGTACTTGCCACGCCTGCTTCATATACGCACACAGGTCTGCCAACCCACTTCCCACTTGTCTGTCCCGGTTTAAGGTACTTACGTGCTCGCGAGCGTACAAAAATTGCTTACCTTACACTCTGGGGTAGGAAGAACGCCTTATTCATTCCCACACCTCTATTTCATGAACCACTTGACTGCTAAGGTCAATTACAGATGTGCACCGCTGCGTTTGACCGTTTCTTAGTCCTTTCGCTCGGGCTCTGTTTGTTTTGCGGTGCAGACCCTCTCGACTTATGCCCGTCAGGTCACGTGTGCACTCCGGGCTGCATGTAATGTCACCTTTGACGAAGTAATTTTCCGTAATTTCCTTATATAGCAGAAAAAATTTGGCCTCAAGTGACGGAAGTTCTCGTGTCTCTTCTCGATCATCGGTATCGTCTCCCTCGCAACATTCAAGCAGTCGCTCTAGCAGCGGCACTCACTGCCGCATTTCAAATCATCGCGGAGGTGATAACAGTCGATTGAAAGGTGGTAGGACTCACGCCCCTAAAACTGCCAGTACAAACTCTAAACTAACCTCATCTGCAAAACAGCGTTTTAATACTGAGACTACCTCTCCAGTAGCGGCAGCAGCGCTTTCTGCTCTGGCGGAGACTAAAGCAGCTGTCGCTGCTGCCTTCAACAAAAAACGCAGCAGTGCTTTCGCTAACTCTGAGATGGACACTCCGGTGAATCCGCAGAGAAGAGGGAGAGGTCGTCCACCCGGCAGAGGGATGAAGAAACGCAAGCGTAAAACTTCCTCTGGTTCTCTTTCTTCACTCTCACACTCGGTTTCAGATGACGAGAACTACAAAATGCGAAATAGTCTTAGCACCGGAAATAAAAAGAAAGATCGATCCGACAGTACATCTACCTCGTCAGATTCTGGTTCGAATGATGAGAAAGTGAGTACTTTTTACCCTTTGCTTAAGGTTGAGTCCTTTCTTCCGCCATGCGTCTACTTTAGGTTTGGAATTGAACCAGTTTTCTTATTTGGTTTGAATGACCTTTCGAGAAATAATTACCTTCTTTTGATTATAATTAGCATTGTTAATTAGTTGCTTAACAATCTGATCGTTACGAGTGGAAACTTGTGATCGTGATATCACATATTTTTCTCACTGTCTGCAGTTAACTGGTTCGTCATGGTCTCCCCGAGGTAAAAAGAGCAACCAGCGGGGTATTGTCTCCAAGAAGCGAACAAATGGTGATTTCCTTTCCCTGGTTTAAACCCGGGTCTCCTTTTTTTATTTAGTATAGCTTCAATTGTTTCAAATGTGTTTGATCTACTGCGTAAATTTCACGCTTTTATTACTACAGGTCATTTGACATCGAAAGCTGTATTGAAGGATTCTCCACAAAGTAGTTATATGTCAAACAACAGCAGCTTGCCTCGACACGCCTCTCTTGTAAGTTGTTTAGTACTTTATTCTCCGACAGAGGTTGGTGTGTTTTGAACTTTTAAACAGTCTTAACTCCACTTTAACACGAATTGATCTTCGTATAAGCACGGCAACAGTTGACCGTGTTGTAACCATTTCAATAGACTTCATGGGACGTGTTGCTTAAAACAACAAACTGTACTGAAGCTTGAGTGTTTGCTTACCTAAGACTATTTCTTAACCAAGACCACCGTAGCTCGCCGACCCCGTGGCCGTCCCCCATTTTCCAGTGTGCGTGGTGGCAGCAATCGGAAGGTTCCCTTCTCTTCTCGTAAAAAAGTGAAATCGAACCCACATTCAGAATCGGACTCAGAACTTACTGATCGTTGTTCAACTACCTTCCCATCTCGCCGGCCGCAGGTGGCTTCGCTTAGACAGACGCACATGAAGCGTCATAAGACTTCTTCAAGTGCTAGTCCCACATCCATGTCAGAATCAGGTAACTCCTCAGATGCCTCAGGTGACCGCAGAAATCTCCTTTTGAGACGGCCACCTTTTGCTCCACCTATTTCAACTCCATCCTCGGCAGCTGTCGTTGGAGCTGCACAGGTCGCTGTCGCAGGATCTCTTGGTGGTATAGGAGCAGCGATTGGACCTGTATCTAGTTCCTCCTCTCTGTCACAACAACAACTTTCAAAGTCGGGATTCACTGCCCTTGAAATGGCTGGACGCAGCAGTGGCCTAGGTTCTGTGCCGAGGTCGCACCTTCCACCGAATAAGAGGCTGGCGGCAGCTGCTGTTGCTGCTGTTTCTGACATTAAAATTGAATCACCACATCATTCGTCCAGCAATTCACTACATCCCGGCGGACTTTCGCCTAGAAAACTACTAAACAAACAAGTGCAGGTGCGTTTTATACGTGAGGTTTTGGGTCTATAAGGGCTTACATGGGTGCCTCATTTCAAAACAAAGACTTAGTTTGTCGAAATGTCTTCACCATCGTTTGTATCAAATCGAGTGACGTTTCTAGTGACGGATTTGTAAAGTGTGGATTGATTGGCTACCATGTAATAGATTGCTTGCAGTTTAACAAATAAAATAGAAACGGACATAATGAAAGAAATATATTGAGCCGCATAGGTAGAATGATTAGGTTCTGTGATGCTTACTGAGTCTGATTTTCGTAACTGATCACTAGCTCATTGTCCCCTTTATTAGGGGGAATGTATCCGCACTCTTTTGATCGAATTTAACATCAAAACACGTCTTATTGTTGGACTGGCATTTTCTATATTTCCAATACAACTTATTTAATGAATAAGTCGGACTTTGGGTTCTACTGACATTCGTGTCTGAGAACACTGCATTATGTGGGACTGACCTTTTTGGCAATTTATTGATTCACCGTTTGTAGACAGTGGGAGACGGGGAGTGTCAAGAGCAGCAGCAACGTGGTTGTGCACGCTGCAAAGAGAACGTTGAGGCTGCACGGCGGCAGGCTATGGCGGAGCAGCAGCAGGCACTAGGGGAGTTGGAGGCGCGACTTTCTGCAGAGCACTCCGCCGCCCTCTCTGCGGCGGTAGAGCGCGAGCGTGCTCTTGCCCGTGAGACCTTAGATGCCGCAGAGGCGCGTTTTAACGATGCTTTAGTGCAGGCCAAGCGACGCCAGTGGTGTCGCAATTGTCTCAAGGAAGCCATCTATCACTGCTGCTGGAACACTTCCTACTGCTCCATAAACTGCCAACAGACTCATTGGCACAAGGAGCACAAACGTCAGTGCCGTCGCAAGCGCTAGGGTCCGCCCATCATTGTTCTTTAATGGCATTTTGTAAATATTCCCTTCCCCACAACCACCACCATCTGGCCGCCTTTTAATATTTCAACACTACTTACGTTAATGCTGATACGTATTGTACATTTTGTGTGTGTTGTTGCCTGCACTCCTGCAGCCTGGCCCCGCTACTGATATTTGGCAAATGTCCAATTGCATTTCGTCTAACATATATATATATATATACATATATACATATGCATATAAATTATTAATAAATGTGTTTTGTAATGACGTAGGTAGTGCTTCTCGCGCTCATCGGTCATGTGTTCGGCGAAATAGTTCGCCGTCTCTTACCTGTTTTTAGGAGGAATTAGCTAACGATGCGTTAGAGTGCACCTTGGGGATTGCACCTTCGGGCCTGGAATTCTGCTTCGATAGGCGAGGATTTCTGAACGTGAGCAAACAATTGTCTTAATTCCTGATTGATTACATTGCTGTTAGAATAGTCGAGGCTGGATTAAGATCTGGTTTGTATGCATTGTCGCATTGTATATGGGCGAGTAAATAGTGGAAGTAAATACCTCCACCAGCGTCTTGTTTATTTTAATGTGATTGAGAATCACTGAGTTCACATCTCGGGTCAAACTCTCCAGGACAGATTATTTTCACTGGCTTTGTTAATGAAATGTGATGGTGCGTTCATTCTTCAGCCCTTGCCACCTGTGTATCCGTTTCGGTCATCTGAAGGTTATAAAGTATCTTGATTGTATACTCTTTAAAATGGATACATTATTGGCGTGAATATGAGTCGGTCCTGTGTATTATAATGAATTCTTCTTTTAATGATTCTTGGCTTTCATCTGCGATACCCACCCGCCAATACCAATAATGCTCAGGGTAAGCGACTTCCTTCGTTGTGCCTCCTTTTTTATTCAAAAGCGCATCGGTGGATTTTCATCATTATCATCAGTTATTTTGTATTAAGAGTGAGCAAATTAGATGGAATATTTCTCACATACATTCCAAACTTGTGCGAAACTATGTTAGACACTGCGAAGGCGAAACCTCTGTGATAACTTAGTCCAGGAAATTTGGTTGTTTTCTTGTTCGGTAGAAGTAGGTAGATCTTGCTGTGCTTGACACTTGTGGCAGTTTATTTCTTTTATTTTTCGTGCTCACTAAAAATCACACAATAAGATGTCAGCGCATCATACAGCTTAAAAAATTGAAATAAGCCAGTCACATGATTGGTGGAAACGACATTACCAACAGTAGCAACCGCAAAAGACCAAACGGTCTTGTGAGGAGTCATTTTACACAGACTTGGCAATTATTTCAGTCCTGCGCTTGAAGGCGACCTAATGACAAACAGAGGAAGGATATGGTGGTGTAAACATTTCTGCCTCTGGGATAAGTGAAATATTGAAATCCTTGCACACGGGAAGCGTGAGTACCAATGTTATGAAGGTGCATTTCTGGATGTAACATTTATAGAATGATTTCGACGAGGACGCTTTCATACTGGATCGACTCAAGATGGGTATCTCTCTCCCAGATCTTCACGACAGTCTCATGCAATACTTCAACATTTTAAAGAACAGTCTCGTTGAACTAATAAACCGTGACTGTGCTGACTTTGTCAATCTCTCCACCAACCTTATTGGCTTGGACAAAATCATCCACAGCCTCGAAGATCCATTGATGGCTATGCGAGAACGCGTCTCCGTGAGTTCCCCAACTTCTAATTCCCACCCAAATGCACCTATTTGCTCATCTGAATTAGACTTTTTGCTATCTTATGTCGTAGGAAGTTTTGTTGGAGATTCAAGAAACAAAGAAGGCTTTTGAAATCAATTTGGAGAAAAGAAAGAAACTGCGCGAAAAAAAAGTAAAATTTAGTTTAATTTGTACTTTTTTTAAAAGTATAATTCGTTCAGACAGTACAATGTCATAGTTCAATTCTAGAACTGTTTAGAACGTAGGTCTTTCTGCTGAATTTAAAGCCAGCAACAACGGGTAGCTGAAAAATCTTGAATATAATCTTGCATAGCTGAGGGATGATGGCGAAGACCATTGGACACTCCATTTGGCAAAGCTGGGTTTCTTCGGAGCCTCCCTTGGGTCTCGATTTTTAACATATGGTTAAACACTGTTTTATAGATTCGTCTACTTTTACTCCGATTTCGTCTCGTAAAAATAAATCATTAGAAATCACGTGTAATCCAACCCGCCTCTGTTATTCCACCTTTCACTCTTACTTTCCATTTGCCTTCTGTTTCACCGGAGGAGCTAGTCAACAGCCTCATCACCGTGGCAACATGCATCAGTAGATTGGAGCGTTGGCTCTCCCCAACAATCCAATCCAACGAAGACTTCCGCCTTTCTACTACCGATGACTCTTCTCGTGCCGACAGCATGTATGTTCCTTCCTGGATTTACCCAACCATGTACGAAAGGGTAGGGATCATTGCAACACTACTCAGCTTCACAAGCCACCGAACTTTGGTGATGGCATCTATTTGGTGAACTTTTCTTAGATTTAAGGAGGAACAACAAATTGATCGCGTGGCTCAAGAATATACAAAACTGCAACACTTTGTGAAAAAGTGCGTTAACCATCCCTTCGTAGAAGATCTAAAGCCGGTGAGGCTTTTTCTTGCTGTGCTTAATTACCAATAGCTTTCAATTGGTTAACACTGCTAACGCAAAAAAAGATGTTACGCAATGCTTAACTAATGCTCATCACAAAGCGGGCTTCACTTGTGCTTTCCCATGATTCTTTCGCTTATCAATTTATCTGCTAGTTTACTTTATTGTAAAATTCACCCGTTTATGGGAAACTGTGTGGCGATCCCAGTAAACGGAGAAAATACTAGCTTTTGCATGGGACCAGCTTCTATTTTCGCTTATTTAAATGGTGAGGTTCGTTGAAACAAGTAGTGAACACTTATTCCAAACCTTTTGAGAGATTGTCTGGATTCTGTCTATGCAACTTCTTGGAGCGACAGGTATCGATAACTCTTCATTCATCTGTTGGTGCGCATGCTACTGTGGCGTCGCGCAGTAGGGCTTCAGGCGTGTTGCTATCGCCATAGAGAGTGCGCGCTTGTGCGTCGAGGTAGTCTACAGGACAATTTTGTTCGGCCTCTAATTGGTCAATCTGGTTCAAGGTCATCTTACGCTGTGAGGATAACGTCTGTTTCCTCATACGTAAGGGGTTGGCTGTTAGCAGTGGTGGTGAAATTAGCACGATACATTTCCTTTTCCATTTTTTCAAATGTATTCATCTTTGCTAATGCATTCTCAGACATTCGATCATTCAAATTTCCTCTCAAATATTTTTTTAATTTTCACTTGCGACTCTTTCATTACTCCTGCGCCTTTTGTTTACTCGTACCACTATGTCCGTTGTGGTTTTACAATCTAGCGAATCCACGCGTTAACAGCGAGTCTGCAGGATCAACTGGAGGGTCGCCTGCGCTGCAGTCTTGATCTTTGTCACGAGGCGCAATCCGGTGGTCAGCTGCACTCAACAGCTACCAAGAGGGCTTCCTCAGTTCTGCGTCAAATCCTTTCAACCTACCTATCCATTGACAAGCTCGGCAATGCTATCGTCCTCTATCGTAAACACTGTCTCCACGCCCAGCTCTCTAAGGTGAACTTCCAACGACAACTGTTTTTCAACTATTTTGGTGTCATTCTTTTGGCTCAAATTATGTTTGATGCTTTTGCAAACTGGCGTCTGCTCTTCTTTCAACTTGTTTTTTTATTGCGGTAGATATTTTCACCCTGTTCGGAACTGTCGGCCAGCGGAGCCGATTGTGATGCCGCGGCCTCGATATTGAGGCGAATGTTTGCTGAGGCTGTCGCCTTCCTTGATGACGAGCTTTCCCTATTTCAAACCCTCGTCTTCAGGCGACTTCACAAAAGGTGTCCCTTCTTTCCTTTCAAAATCGATATTCACTAGCGGAAAGTAGATACTTGTGTGTATCTGATTAAAAGACATTGTCACTTTTAGCTACTTTTAGTGCATTTTTGTGCCAGTCATTATATCATTTGTTAGCATTAGTTTCTGAGTTAGACATAGAATGGCTATATCCCTCTCAAATCCACGCATCTTTTGTGGATGCATAGACTGTCATCCCAATCTCATCGGTTATCTAGACCTTACTTCGCCTCTCCTATTCCAAGTCGAGTGCAGCAGGCTTAAAGAGCAGAATTTACCTTGAGGTTGATTGGATCTGTATCCCCTCTTCAACTCAATATGAACTATGATGTTTTATGGGAAATGAACACTCAAGACGCGCCTTTTAGATATATTAACTAATAGCTTTTACTCCCTTGAAGCTACGAACCACTGAGTGAGTTCGACGTGATTACCGATGGCTTCTTCCCCGAAACTGTGGATGTTATTTTCAACCAACTTTCCGATATTTTCTCCGCTGGCAATCCGGACAGATTCCATAGAGTCAGTTTGCTATCGCTTCTTTTCGTAACAGCTTATGACTAATCCATTAACTCCCGGTCGTAGACAGATCTACGCATCCAAACATTTTTCCCTAAGGTTGAGGTTAGTAGCTTACGCTTCTTATTTTGTGCGTCCTTAAAATGGCAAGTGTTGTGAATCGGGGTTCGCATGCGTTATTCGGTTTTCCTCGGACTCCTATCCAAAGGAGTCAATAAATGAGGCTGTTATTAACGACTTGTGCGGATCAATGAAAGAGGCCTCGGTAAGCACGCACGATATTGACAACTCGAAGGTGGTAATTGCCTAAAGAGACCTTTCACTTACAATAGCTACCGGTTAGGAGAAACTGGAAGTGCGACTTTCCGGAGAGAATGGCACTGAGACAAAAGTGAAACCTTCCGGAGGTTAGAAATAGACTCATTGAGAATTCGAAGTATCTTCCACAAATGTAGACAATATTGGGATGGAAAAGGTCGCTCCAATAATTCATGCTTTTTATGAAACAGTTGTACAAAGTTGGTCTGGAGTTCTTGGACCTTGTGGAAGCTCGAGTCGATTCTACTAAACAAGTGATGAAACTGCGAGAAAATCCCGCTTACTTATCCTTCCTCAACAAATGGAATCTCAATATTTACTTCCAGCTTCGGTAAGTTGCCGGTTGCCGGTTGCCGGTTATTGCTTCATGTATACTTCAGTCGCTTGATGGGTAGGCTTTCTACATTCGAGTAGGTACCAAGAATGCAACGAAATTATTTCCGACTGTTCAAAGGACTTGTTTAAGCCGGCTGAAAGAGGCTCACCAGGTAGGCCAAAACGAATCCTCAAAGATGCAATTTACCATTTGCTGCGTAGGCGTGCCGTATCCCATAGAGGAAATGTTTTTGCAATGTTGAAACAATGATCCAGCGCTTTATTTTGATTACAGCCTGTTACCTTGTTCTCTCTATTTACTAGGCTATGCACTAGCTGTGACAGCGACTGTGATGCAGCAGATGAAGCGTTGCTGGTCGGAGGATGTCTACCTAAACTCCCTACGACATCGATTTTGGAAACTCACTCTTCAACTCATCAATACTTATGCTTACCTCATTGGCGAAAAGGCACTTAGTCAGAACTCCAACTCACCAGACAAAGTGTGCTCTCTGACTATTATTTTTCAAAAATGGCCAATCCTTGAAAATAGTTTAGTCTAGACTATGGAACCTTGTAGATTGAGACCCCTTTTGTTTCTTGATGAAACAGTAAAGTAGGTAAATGTAAACTGTGAAAACTGTTATATCAAAACCCATCGAAACTTCCTCTTAAATATAGGCGGAACTCTCAGGCATAGAACCGCTGCTCCTAGTCTTTTTCGATGGCAGCCTCTTTCTGAAGTGGATTAAAGATGGCAACTTGGTTAAATTGGTCCTGTTGCGAATGGACTTTCAGCAAGCTGACTGTCTACCCGATTGGATGACGCAGTGTATTGAAGACTCTTCAGAACGCATCAGTTCTTCATTGACTTCAATTGAGTCAAAGATCTGTCGTGCGCTCGAAGCAAGTGTCGTTTTTTAAACCACTGCGAAGGGAAAAACTGCATTTTACATTATGTTTCGCTCTTGCAGGAAAGTATCCAGGTTCTCGTTCGGCAGATACAGGATCTGCCGCGACAGTACCGCCGCACGAATCGAAGTTGGCCTTCAGCTCCTTCCGCATTTATGCCCAGGATCGTAAAGCAACTCATCGATCTCGCCCAACTCCTACAGTCTGGCGTCCTCAGTAAATCTCAGGTTGAGGCCTCGCCCGCTCTACGCTCCCAAGTCGTTGGACTCTTTGAGAGGGTAGTGCTTCAAACCACAAACATGCAAGTCCTGACACTTCCTATTTTTAATACCTCTTGAATGGTGGTTGAGGTTGTATGTATCTGTCTCAGGTACCACGCTCAGACGTCAGAGCTGATGGCGTCGGTACGGAAGGTTGAGGATAGTCTCAGGCGTCTACGGGTGGCGCGCGCAGTTGGCGGAGGGCACCAGTTGGGAAATGGTAGTAAAACAGACGACGACAAAATTCGCCATCAAGTGTACCTCGACACCCTCGAATACACCTCGCAGGTGAGAGACAGTGCCTTGACTTTCCTCCTCTGATTTCCTCATTTTCAAATTCAGAATTTATTTGGAAATAATTTGTAAAGCAGACTAGGCTGGGCCGTATCGTGTCAAAATGTTACCCTGGGGATTCAAATAAATCGGTAATGGTATACAGGTAGCTCCTAAATGCGTTTTGCAGTTCTCTACTAGCCACTGCTACGAACCGCACCAAAGTTAGCTTATCTAAGGTAATGATGAGCAAGCGCAGGAATGAAAATTTCTTTTTTGTCTGCAGCTGAAATTGCTCCCACTTCTCTCTGAAAAAGGGCTACGATCAAACCTCGATGTGCTTGGGGCTTCTGAGACTTCAGAAAAGACCTTCATGGGCGAGCCCTAAGTTTCTAGCAAGAGTTTGCATAATGCCTCAACCCTGAATCCTATGATGTCTACAAAATTTTAAATACACTCGATCAGTTCTGGTGATTTTGACTACTTTTTGATACAACCAAAGACTATTCCGTTCATTAGGCCATATTTATTCAACACCTTGGTCGAGATTACACGTTCTATCTGTCCAAATGAAATAATTTTCTCCAACGCGGTATTTGACACCATATTGCAACGCCATCCTTTAGACACGAACTCATCTCAAAGGCTCTTAGCCATGACAACGGGGAGAAGCGACTTGGTAAGAGCGGGAAATTCAACCTAATTAACAGCTGCATTTTGCATGCAATGAAAATCCCAGTGGTGAATTCGTCGGTTGGCGCGGCTAAGTGATGTCAATTTTGTGTGGTTGACCTCAATCATTTTCAATCGAGGTTCGCCCAATTTTCCATACTAGGGTTTGGCATCGTACCAGCAGGCAGGGACCGTTTCATAGCTTAAAGATCGCTACTCTTATAACACGGAAAATGAGTCAACAACCAAGAGGTGAGGTTATATCAGTATATGATCGAAATTAATTAAAGCCGTAAAACGCCTATGACAGTTGTGTCAAGACAGTGCGTCACAAATACGCAATTATGCAACGCATCAAAGTTTGCCTCATTTCCAACCCGAAAGACCGTGACTCAAGTCATCTCCTCTTTGCAGTTGTAAAAGCTCTGCTTCCGTAGCTGCTACATCATCCGCAGCAGCCTCCAGGTCCTACTAGTCAAAGCATAATGAGGTAAGGGCCTTATCATTACCGTATTAAGACCTCTAAAAAGGAGTAATTTCTCTTCCAATTGTTCTACTTTTCCACGAAGTAAGGATGCGTCCATCTGAAGCTTCTTAACGTTCGTGGGATGGTAGAACTGGGGTAGAACAATGAACTTGTTGACGGGTAACTAGCAGAAAAAATGTCAAAGGTAAACAGCATACGGATGGAACAGAATTGAAGCTTTTGACAGCATCCGAGAGAATATCCATGTCAGCAGTCTTCACTTCCATAAGAAACTGTGGCAACTCTGACATCCTTAAAAGCACCAAAACACGGTAGAGACCCATGAATGTCTTAGCCTTGTGAAGGTATCCAGTAGACAAGAAATTGGTTGCAACTGTGGATGCAACAACGAGATAATAAGCAATGCACGAGGAACTCGAAATTGACATACAGGGGACGAACCAATTGATACAAACAGAGCAAATTCACCTTTTAATTGAGTCACAAATCGAGTTTAGGCGAGGACGCAGTAGCCCGAAGTCCTGAATAATGTGATTAAGACGGGTCGACACGTTGACCTCCTTTGATAAAGAGCTTTTGAATGATGCAGAAATGTTACGAATGCTTAAATCAGTAAGACAGGTAAACATCAATACCTCTGTGGTTTAGTTGCATATGCTTGTAGCTTAGATAAGCGCTGAGAAAGGACACTCAATTTTTCCAACATAATGTCTTCATGGGGAGTGTCGCCAAAACCACAGCTACTTAGGAAGTTGGAGAAAATACGATTTTTCTCTGATGCTAATGTTCACATTTACCATCATTAATCCGGGATAAAACTACACACTACCTTCCGTCACCATTACTTCACTTATCCGATTCAATAGACTCTCCGACACGTAGACCCCATGCATGGCTCAGTTCTAAAGTGCGCAAGAGACCGCACTTTGAATCCAACAGCAATTCAAAGAACTACACTTTAAAAATAAAACAAATTTCCTATTGAAAAAATTTAATTTATTAAAAAATGCACTTCAAAGAGCAGAAACAATTCTCAGATCAATAAAATCTCAGTCGATCATTAGTAAAATTTAAGGTCGGAGGGCGTTCAATCTGCCGTCTTCGGGCATAGGTATATATCGTTGCTTCGTAATGGCGGGAACCAACACTAATGACTGCCCCATTTGTCTTCAGCCATTTCTTCAACCCGTGAAAATTCCGTGTGGCCATGTATTTTGCTATCTTTGCATCAAAGGCTCTGCTTCTCATCGACGCCGATGTCCTCTGTGCCGTGGGGTTCTCAGCATGAATTTTTTTGAAAACCCTAATGTTATTCATAGCTCGTGTGAATCTGAAATGACTGGTAATTATATCTTTTAAAAAATGCCCTAATGCTTTATTCTTGTGCTTGTGTCGGTCTTGCTACGTGTCTGCATTAACAGAACTCTGTCGTGTGTTGACGCAAAGTAACGATTGTTTTCGAAAATTAAAGAAGTTGGCTGGACCTTTTTTGGCTTTTGGACAATTGGAGGATTTGATTTGTATTTTGTGGTTTTGATGGTCTAGTGGCTTTGAACTGGCAGAAAATAATAAGTTGTTCAGCCCTACTATGCTCACGCATTTCTTCGGATTCTTGAAAAGATCTTAGGAGCCCTTTTTACCATTTTCCGAATTGTTTCTTAATGTGAGTTTCGCCAACACAATAAATCATTAGTGGCTGAAGCGTAAAGCTCTGTTAGTCATTATATGTGATCGTAATGTTATATGGTTACTTAGTTTTGGTTTAATGTTTCTTGCTTCAGGCTTGCTCTTTCCCTACACGTCTCCTTTATTGCGTTCTGATATTTGATGCTACTCGTTTAGAACGCTCGCCTTTGGAATTCATTTGGTACTATGAGGGCCACAATGGTTGGTGGCAATATGACGAGAGAACAGCAAGTGAAATAGAAGCTGCTTATCTTCAGTCCCTTCCTCAGTGTGATGTGTTCATTGCGGGCCACTTCTACGTCGTCGACTTTGCCAACATGTGTCAGGTTCGAATCACTGACTTCTCAGAACTATGTTGGTGCTGTCATTTCATTTTTCCTTTTTTATCCTTTTTTTGCAGTATCGTAAAGACCATTCTGGACGCAATCGCCGCATTAAGCGTGACTCGGTGGACATATCAAAGAAGGGCATTGCGGGCATTCGCCTCTCACTCATCCAGTCTTTAGAGACCAGTGAAGAGGGCGTCATTGAGAGAAGTATGGAAGGCGAGGTAAATATTTCCCCTTCTGCTATCACCTCGACCGTTTTGAGCAATCAATTCGACTCCAATGCGAGTCACGCTCCTAGCTGCCTTCGACAACGCACCCTATCAACTACCACTGACTGCATGGATTGACAATATTTCCTTTCTTTTTTATCGCTTCATTCTTTCAGATCGAATAAGTAATGATTTGCATTTATTCAGTTTATGATCTGCAAAAGTCTGGCCTGTCAGGGATCTTGTGGCTAGGTACACCGTTTTTCTGAAAAGTGGAACTTTGTCTCACTCTGCATATTGTGCCAAGGAACGGGTGGCTCTTCAAACGTCAAGATCAAAGTGCAATCCGAAACCGATTGGCCTCTCATTGTTCGTCGTTGAGTTTATAACAGCAACATGGTTTGAATACTACTAAGTCGGAACTGCTCTAGTCTCGTGTATCAGATCAAGTTTCCGTTAGTGCACCAGGGGGGTCCAGACACGATTTAAGGTGGTGAATAGTACATAATGTGCTCCAGCTCTGGGTAAAAGTGGATTCGAACATTTCTCTCAATCAAATCTCAATTTCAAACTCACAATATCAGCAAGAAGTACTATTTTGACGGTGGCGCGAATAGCATGTCCTGTGACGGACATTCGCGTTGGATGCTGCAAGGAAATTGACTGAGAAATGCAACATAATCGGAATGCAACACATAGCTTCCAAGAAATCATTAAACAAAGTCCTCGCCAAGGTGGTCAATTTGAGACTCCAGTCTAGAAAATTGTTTAGCAATTTCGATAGCGGATGTATGGTTCTGAGGTCTCGCATTTTGCATCGGAAGGTGAGACAGTCAACGTAACTGCCACTCCTACAAGCAGTCGAATAAACAGAGCATTACGATGCAACTTGCGGTCAAACACCCCATTACACTAACCGCCACCGTGTAAGCCTAGTTTTCTTCCACTTCAGCGGTTTCCTCGTAATCTGAACGTGGCAAACCAGTGTCGCCGTGATCTACATTATACACACTTGCGTATTATCCATGGCCACTTTTGCCGAAACTGCTCATTTCAACATTATTTCCGGGGAAGCAGGATTAGTTCGAGTACCCATTAATCGGACCCAAAATATCAGGACGAATTCAACAAATCGACTTTACACATTTTCATTGACAAAGTCACCCTAAAGCACAGACGATACTAAAAAACTCCAAAACGCGTAGGTAGCATAAAGAGACTGATTTTTATTAGGGGGTCATGACAAGTTGGTGGATGTCTCCCCTGACGAAGAACGAAAACAAACAAGGGGGCTTGGATAAGGAGGAAAGCTTGAACTTAAGGAAAGGGAGAACGACGCGGTCTAAGAGCCCTTCCTGTGTAGGCCAGGCAGCTCCAAGCCAGGAGAAGGAAGAGGGCCGCAAATACTACTCGCCCCAGTAATGCCCGATCGAAGTAAGTCAACCGTGGATGAAGGTGATGCGGTGGCCGCCTGCCAAGCCGGTGGCAGGAGGTTTGGTGCGGAGCCATTCTGCCTTAGTCGATGCTGGGGGTAAAGACTACTGTGAGGCATATTGCAGGCTGCCGCAACAGACGCGGAGAGAAGAAGTTGTTCAAGGCGGTTGCTGCTGCCAACACCGATTGTCGCATTTGATGCAAAAAGAGAGTTGGGTGGAGTAAAGGGATTTTGCTGGGCGGTAGCAGAGCCTTTTAGCTGCAGAAGGGTAGACTCCACGCTTGGGCCTAAGTTAGAGAAGGTAATCAGTTTAAGCAATGCGCAGCCAGACCACGCGACGAGTCCAACAGTAACACCGTAAGGATAGGTGCTCATCGGTTCCCAAAGATCGTTTAAGACACGATCCAAAAGTGAAACCGCATGACGAAATGGCAGCACCAAAACTGAGTCACTTGAAAGGATGATTGGCCAGTAAAAATTTAGAGTTTGAATTTATCTACAATGTATTAACCATTGTCCAAATGGTTACTTGTAAGGGGTTGTAAATAAATTATCCGAATAAAACGTAGGGAGCATATTCTAGAGGAGTTTCAAACTTCATTTCAATGGTCAAAATTAGCAGTAGCCAGTAAACCTGCCTTATAATCAATACTCGCTCTATAGGTGAACGACGAATGTACTAACCATACATAAAATGTCAAGCTACATGCAACGACCGGACCAAGAGACCACAGTCCTCAACTAAAAACAACGCGACACAACACAACACAGGTTTCTACATGCAGTCCCCCAAATTGTAGCTGACGGGGATTAGTAAACATTACCAGATAGCAACGTAGCTCAAGTGAACCCATGCCAAATGCAATAAGAAGACAAGGCGTTATCCACCAGCAAACATGTTACAAAAGCATTGAAACATGCTTGCAGAAAGAAAGTTCTCTTGAATCACTTATGAAGTAAAAGAGCGACAACACAGTAGGCAATAAATGGACTAGGAATGCAATGAATAAAATTAACATACTAGAACGGAAAGCCGAGGATGGCACGCTGGGACGAAAAGTGGTTGAAAAGAAGGGAGACCGTTGACTGGGAGGCAACCTTTGATGATTTTGAGATGTTGAGGGATCCATTGCAGAGAGACCCTTAACTATGGGTCTGCGTTGGGTATACTGAAAAGCAATTGCTGGGTCGTTCGGCAGGAGTCTTGAAGATGCGTTCACCTTTCGATTAACAAATTGGCTGTGTCCCCGTGTCGACGAAGAAGGACCGCCAGGAACATCAATCAACGTTTCACCGAAAATTGGTCCAGTCCAATTGTCGACTTTCTGTTCTAGATTTATCTCTAGAGCAGATGGAAGTGGCGACCCAGTATCTGCAAACTAAAATACCGAGAAAAATTAGCCAAATAGCCCTACTGATCTGTCGAGACTGCATGCTTATTGGCTCGAAAAGCATTGTAGCTTGATAGTGTTTTCAATAATGTTTATCGAATTGCGGCGCAAAAACCGCAAACTAGATCCACCTACAGAGTACCTCTTAATAACTATTTGAAGAGGCATTACAACCTTAAGCCATATATCCATACCAAATTTTCCCTCTGTTCCAGCAAATCACGGCTGTAAGGGGAAGGGTGGGCGAAATCACCAAAGCTAGATGATGTGGGGACCGACTGTTGCTTGATACTCCACGGACGCACTAGTTGATCAAGCAAGAAAGATGACTGATTTGACGTGGGTTTTGGCGGGGTTGCACCATTCCCAAAGAATGCGGCAGCCTCAATTTCCTCCACAGTCGGAACAGAACTCAAAAGTGGTGACTTCGGGGATACCTTAGGAACTAGATTCATCAATGCAGATTAATCATGAGCAGAGCTAGACAATATTGCCGAGTTAAGCAACTTCGATACTACCAGTACTAGTACTGAAAAATAGGCACTTTTCATGACACACAATTAGCAATATCGCAGAACTATAAGAGTAACTCACCTTCGAGTGATTTACAAGAGTGTGAATTTCCGATAAATAGAGCCCTTAAAACCGACTCAAGCTCCGCAGCTAAAAGAATTCAAAAGGCAAGTGAAATTACCTGATGTCTGAGATGATGGAATGGGGGCAACTTGATCCTGTGGAACCGGTAAATTGTTCGAACTTGCAATAAGTTTAAGCAGTCTAGAAGATGATTTGTCTGAAGCGAGGTGTTAAAATGCGACACGTATTACCGGACAAGTTATTTTCAGGAATAGTACTGGAGCTCGGACTGTTCAAAGTTGAGCCCCCAAGAAAATGACCAAGCTGACTACTTTCATTGTCAACCTTAGGAAGATCGATAAACTTTAAGAAGTCTGCTTCACTCAAGCTTGGTGAAACAGTGGGAAAGTGAGGTGGAAGCTTATCCTTGTCTAGAGAGAGAATTGCGCTATCAACATCAGAAGGGTTCAGTTGGGAACCATCAGATTCTTTATCTGTTAGTGCTTTATCAATTTTGATATCGCTGTCCTCGATAACCAAACCAAGCTCAACAGTGTCGTTTATGGTTTCAGGGCCTTCAGTAAACCACTCTGGCTCCTTCTCCATTTCTTTAAGAGACTCAACTGGGTGAGTCTTAGATGTGATAATTTCCTTCCCGTATGCAGCACCACGACCAAACCCGGAACTACCAGCAGCAGTGGACCGACCAGAACTCCGTTCAGATCCTTTGGATTCGCGCTTAAAATCACTACGCAAAAATTTGCTTTCCTGGAATCCTCTCTGCCCTTTGGTGAAGGAAGAGTCTTGCGAACGCTTGGTTTGCGATACATGACAGCCAACATTCCAAGAACGTTTTTGCGGACCAAGGACAATACCATTATGATCATGCGATTCTAGATTAATAATAAGACTTGTATGTCATTTACTTGATTGTCTTTCCAATACTTTGCATTCTGGTCTCAGAATCTTGAAAAGAACCTTTGAGTTTGTTAAAATGAATCTCTCGTCAAGTTCCTGCTGAGATTTTTCTGATTCTTTGATTTTTAACAAGTCAACCTTAAACGAATTGACCCCAATATAAAACATACTCTAGAAAATGATATGGTACGGGGAGTTTTACGATGAGGACAACTGAGCGCCTCCGACGCATTGGTCAAGTCTAAACGCAAAAAAACGTCAGCTCCGAATTCAAAAGTGTTACCTTCAACATGCAGCGTAAAGACAGAGTTGTTACTGTTGGAAATAGGAGCACTTGAGGCCATTCTTGAACTTACGAAGGACCCAGCATAGCATACTGATATTCTTACCAAAATGAAGTGACAAAGCTTTTGTGACGTTGACAGCAGTGGCCCAAGAGAACAATGATGTAAAAGTCACCAGTATAAAATTTTATAAAACATCTAAATCTTACAAAACATGACACACGTCTTACCGAAATCAAGCCAAATTTTAGCGCTGGGATACGTGGGAGATGGTACAAATGCCTCCCAGTAATTGGCCAAAGATCGACAATTAAATACGACTAAGGTATCGCATTGACTACCAGAACCCAGCTCGATGCAAACCTTGCGCGAGGATGCAGAACTTCAATCAACTTGAAAAGCCCACCCCAACCCACGTAAACAAAATCATATCGAATCTATCATATGTTGTACTGGCTGTTCTACAC